GGGTCCAGCAGGAGACCTGCAGGGCTGGGGGTGCCCTCACAGTTACAACTGTCTCTCTGTGTGCCCATCCCTTCCTGTCTCACTCAGCCTCTCCTCTCTCCCCCGCCTGTCTCCGGCAGACCCAGAACGCCATGTACGACCTCATGTCTGAACTGCACGCCCAGCACGAGGACCTCGAGGCCCGCCTGGCTGCCCTCGAAAGCCGCCTGGACGCACTGGGCACCTCCCTGCAGGCCTTGCCTAGCCTCATCACCCAAGCCATACGCCTGCCCCACCCGCCCCTGCCTCCCCAGTCTGGCCCACAAGACCAGGCAGCCCGGAGCTCCCCGTGCCGGTGGCCCCCCATGGCCTCTTCAGACTGCGGGTGACAGCCCTGCCCACCACCGGACCCCACAATCTTGGCCATTGTGTGGCCACCACCTCCACAGCATCCAGGAAGTCCTGTCCAGTTGCGCCTCCTGGAGTACAAGGAGCCAGAGCTGAGTTGGGCTGAGTGGCCGGGGGCCGTCCCACCCGGACTGTCTGGGCAGGGGCGGCTGCTGCCTGCTTCCTCCCTGATTGGAGTTTGGGGAGCCTGGAGCTTCCTCTGGTCGCCCGGCCCCCTGACTCTCCCCAGGCCCCCAATGGGCTCAGAACAGCAGGGAGAGGGGTCCTTGCCAGTTCTAAATAAAGCAGGACCCATCCAGCTGCTGCCTGTTGTGTGTGGCTGGGGGACACCTGTAATCACAGCAAGGGAGAGGGACACCTGGCCTGGGGGCCCAGCATAGATAAGGGCGTCAAGGTGAGCGCATCTCCATCACCTGCCTAGCCCGGTAGCCCGGGCTTAGTGAGAACCGCTCGCTGAGGACGTCTGCACCAACCCCGCCTGGCACTGCCAGAGGGGCCTGCAGAGGACATGGCCCAGCCCCCACAGGAGTCATTGGAGAATCACCCTTCCTTTTGACCAGCTGGCTTTGCTGGAGCATCCGCTGTGGCCAGGTGCCAGTGAAGCACAGTCCCGTGAGGGAGCTGACATGGGTGATGAGGGCTCCTCAGCCTTCACTGGACACACATTGAGCACCTGTTATATACACCTTCAGCAGAATCTGAGCAGGGTAGAATGGGAAACTGAGGCTCAGAGAAGTGAAGCCACCTGCCTGGGGCTACAGAGCGAGGGTGGGAGGAGGTTGAGCCAGGACTCAAACTTGGGGACCCACCGGCCACCTCAAGAACCCGCACTTGGGGGGAGGACACCTCATGGGGGGCTGGGGTGAGTCAGGGAAGTGTGCTACGCTCCTGGGGTTAAAGCGACCCATTGGTATGGGCCGGAAGGGAAGGTTCCGGATGCAAGTAGAATCAGAAGGGTCCCTCCAGGCCTTGGGCTCAGGGTGCTGGGGTCAGATAGGGGGTGGGCACCTGGCAGGTACTGGGCCCTGATGAGGTGGAGAGGGGAACACTGGCCCCGGGGGAGGCTAATCAGTGCCCACCAGAGAGCCCAGGCGCCAGCAGCCTCTGACTGGCTCGGAGCGAGGGGTTGGGTGTGAGGGAGAGGGGTGCGGTGAAGTGCCAGCGGGCACCTGGGTTCGAGTTGTGACTCTCCCACCGCTGGGTGCCTTTGGCAGTGGCTCCCCTCTGGAGGCCTCTGTTTCCTCATCTGAAGATCCAGCAATGAGAACAGGACACATGCCCACGCTGGGGTGCACCCAGTCTGACGGAGGAGCCACAGTAAACGCGCAACAGTCACAAACACACTGAGAAGAGCCATAAAGAAAGAAACAAGGCCAGAGCATGACTAGGGGACTCTGAGGAGGCCACATTTGGGCATGGGATTTGGGGGGCAGGTGGGAGAGTGGATCTGGGGAAGGGCGTTCCTAGCACTGGAACAGCCAGTGCAAAGGCCAAGAGGCAAAACTTGAGTTTGTTGTATTTGGGGAACAACCTGTAGGTGGCCGCGGCGGGAGGACAAGAGTCGGGGAAAGGCTGGGGCATCACTCGGGACCAAAGGTGCCGCGTGGGTAGGTGCGCATGAGACCACAAAGCACAAATCCGTGGCTGCCTCCTCCCAGTGCCAGCCACATCCGCCCTGGCCGGCCTGTGACTCACCGGCGCCGACCCTGCAAAAACAGGGCCCGCCCCGTGCGGGGGGTGGGGGGGAGGAAGGGGGCGGTGGTGGCAAACTCAACAGCGCGGGCTAGCGGGACGCACGTCCACGGCGGCCCGGGCGCGTCAAGGGGGAGGACGCGGAGGACCAGGAAGTCAGCCCTGGGCCTGAGGCGCCTGCACAAGTTCGCTCAGGCGGGAGAAAGCACGGGCGCGCCCGGGGCGGCGAGGACGAGGGTTGAGACCCGGGAGACTCCGGTGGTGGCCGCAGGCCCGGGCCGCGCCCCATGGCGGGTGCACCGTCCCTGCGGTGCACCCAGGCCCGCGCCATGCGTCTGGGCGGCGTGAGCAGCTTCAGGCTGGAGCTGGCGCGTGGCGGTTCGTACCGCGGCGGGGAGCAGCTGTGTGGTCGGGTGCTGCTGCAGGCGGCGGCGCCACTGAGTGTGCGAGCGCTCGAGGTGGACGCCCGCGGCAGGGCAATAACGCACTGGATCGAGGGCCGAAGTGTGGGTGTCAACGCGGTCTCCAGCCACTTCGCAGCCGCTGAGACGTACTTGCGGCGGCGGCAGCTGCTGCTCCGAGGTGAGCTGCTCACCCTCCCACCCCATAGCTAAGATTCCCCGCAACTCCGTATCCTCTCCCCAGGTCCGCGCGCCTCTGCCCCTCCCTCTGGGCTTGCTCTAACAGCCATCACGAGCTGGCAGGGTCCGCTTATGGCCATCTCCCACTGGGGGTGCAGCGGGCCTTCAGGGGGCCTCCCTGGGTGGCCCGAGCCACTCAGAAGGGATGGCCAACGTAGGCAGGGGTTCGACTTAGAGGCCGTGGTCGCGCGACCCTTCTCAGGAAGTGGGGACCTCCTCCCCTGGGTCTGGACCCTCCCACTGAGACATCCACCCACCTGCTCCCTCCAAAACCCTGTTTCCCAGGAACCCCTCCCAGGGCCCGGGCATCCCGACTCCAGAGCCCAGACGCCCTCGATTTAGAGGCTGTGCGGTGGTAGAATGGGGACCCTTTGTCTACAGGAATCCCTGCGTGGAGACAGGAGATCCTAGATCCTCCCCTCTGGACCCCAGGATCCCTGTTAGCCCCAGGTCTGGGGTCCCTGATTTCCAAAGAAGGCCACTGTCTCGCCCAGCCAGTGTACCCTCCCTCAGTTAAGCTTGCAGTGTTTGAAGGGGCGAGTTCTTCCCTGGCTTGGGGCTTCTGGTGGCGTTTGCAGGTGAGGTGGAGGAGACTTGCAGTGAGGTCAGATTAGGCTGGAGTCTTATGTCCTGGTGAACCTCCATCCCCCACCCTCAGGGCACATCACCAGCCAGGAGCAGAGCAGGGACCACAGACAGAGCTGCGGAGGACAGGGGTCTCTTAGGGGACCCTTCCACCTCCTCCCTTATACCCATCTGCAAAATATGCGTAGCAGGAGGCAGCTCAGACTTGACCTTGCAGCTTTGTCCCAACAGCCCGCAGGTTCGAGGGACTGTAGCCTGACCAGCTGTGGAAACCCAGATGTGGTGAGGAGGAAGGGGCCCCAGAGCAACTTCCCTTCCCCTGCAGCTCAAGCGAAATTGGGGTCGGTCTCACCTTACCGTTCCCCTGGTCCCCCTCACTGGTGGCTTCCTCAAGACACTGGAGGGATGAAGCTTTGGGATCTGTTGTGTGACCCTGCCCATCTCTGGGCCTCTGGAAACCCATCGGTAAAATGGACTGAGGGAAGTGCCACTGAGTGGACAGCCTCTGCCCCTCCCTCTAGGCTTGCTCTAACAGCCATCACGAGCTGGCAGGGTCCGCTTATGGCCATCTCCCACTGGGGGTGCAGCGGGCCTTCAGGGGGCCTCCCTGGGTGGCCCGAGCCACTCAAAAGGGATGGTCAGCGTAGGCAGGGGTTGGAGCAGCGGTGCATCTCTCTGCCACCAGAGGGCGCCAGTGCCCCGTAGATCTCAGTGAGGCAACAACTGCCTTTGAATCGCAAAGTACAATTCTTTGGAGAAACTGGGGCCCGGAGAAGGGTTATCCCTGCGCCGAAGTCACACCGCAGCCCTAGGCCCCCGGGGCGCCTGGAGCTTCCCCTGCACTCTGCTGTGTCTGTGAGGGGACCGGGGCTGGAGGTGCCTGAAGTGGGCACAGGGGATTAGTCCTAGAGGTCAAGTTTGCCCGGGGCTGGAAGTTGGGAAAGAAATGTCGGTTGGTAGGAACACCTTAGGCTAAAGAGCTTTAGGCGCAACCTAGTGGCAACGCGTCCAGAGCGGTTGGTGATTGGAAAACGAGGCTCTGGGAGGGAGTACCGTAGGGGCGGCGCTGAGATTCGTGCGGGACTCTCTGAGCTAGGGGCCGAGTTTCTTCCGGCATTGCGCACGTGGGAACTCAGGCTCAAAGAGGTCGTCACTAGTCCTGGATCACCCCGCTGAGCGGGCTTCAGATCAGAGGAAGGGGGCAGCAGGTGCGGGATGGGGAGAGGCCCCACCGACTTCCTTCTCCTTTATCATTGAACAGAGGGGAAAACTGAGGCCCAGTGACCTAGGCCTTCAGCGTCCCATTGGAGCCAGGCCACACCTCTCTAGCTCGGGCCGCACATGCCGCGAGTCACGTCTGCAAGCAGTGGCGGGTTGATGATTAAGCCAAGGGACCGAATGGTATTCTTGAGTGACCTGAAGCCCAGGCCCCGCTTCCTGGCCTCAGTTTCCTCTCTTTACCCCCGAGATCCGCGAGAAATCGACTCTGGTCCCCAGGGCTTCAGTTTCACCCCGGGGTCCGCGATGGGGGAGGGTAAGCCAGCTGGGAGTCTGCGAGTTTATTTTGCTACCCGTTCTGGGCGGGGCCACGCCTCTCGCCGCTCAATTGGCGTGTTCTTTTCCGGGGCGGGCTTGTGTCCCGCTTTGCCCCGCCCTGCCGTATAAAAGTAGCGCCAGCAGAGGCTCTGAAGAATCTCCGGCCGGCTTCTGAATGCTCTTGCGCGCGCCGGGTGGGTTTGCCTTCTGAGGCTGTAGCGTCCGCCCCTCGCTCCGCCTAGTCAGGGATTCTAGGCCAGGGTCCGCGTGTTTAGGGTTTGCATCCCCGGCGCGATGCTCTTCGACAAGGTGAAGGCATTCGTGGTGCACCTGGACGACACGAGCGCGGGCGCTAATCCCGTGTTCAGTGGCGGCCAGGTCGTAGCCGGCCGGGTACTGCTAGAGCTGGCGGGCCCGGCGCGCGTGGGAGCCCTAAGGCTGCGCGCGCGGGGCCGCGCCCACGTGCATTGGACCGAGTCACGCAGCTCGGGCTCCAGCACCGCGTACACGCAGAGTTACAGCGAGCGCGTGGATGTCCTGAGCCACCAAGCCATGCTTCTCGCGCCAGGTACGACCCGGGACCCCTGCTCGGCGCACGTGCTGCGTGCCCTGGAAACCCTGCTCAGCCCCTGAGCTGCCCCCTCTTGCTCCTCCTTGCAGACGCGGGCGAGACCACCACACTGCCTGCTGGGCGCCACGAATTCCCATTCAGCTTTCAGCTGCCTCCGTAAGTCATCTGGGGTGCTGGACTTGGGGGAAGTATCCCTCAGGTGTGGGGCTCCACTGCTGAGTACCTGGGGACCGTGGAGCCCAAGACTGTCTCCACTGGGAGGCCCTCAGGAGTGTCCCTGTGTCTCCCAAGCCCCCTAAGTCTTTGGGAATCCCCAACCTGCTAGTCTCTATACCTCACCTGCTGAAGGCCCTTCCTTCCACTCCTAGGACACTGGTGACATCATTCGAGGGCAAACATGGCAGTGTCCGATACTGCATCAAGGCCACCCTGCACCGGCCCTGGGTTCCTGCCCGCCGAGCCAGGAAGGTGTTTACTGTCATTGAGCCCGTGGACATCAACACGCCTGCCCTGCTGGTATGTGGCCGGCTGCCCCTGGGGAGGTGGGAGGGTAGCACTGAGGATCAGGGGCCTGGCTTCTGGGTGACTCCGACCGGCTCCTTATCCTCTTCACAAAGTGTCACAAAGTGTGGGTCACAGTTGAGCCCTGGCACGGAAGGAGGCAGGCAAAGGGGTGTCTGTGGAGTCAGCATGGCCTGGTGGAAACCCGAGCCGCACCAATTCTCCCGGTGCCTTGGGGCGAGTGCCTCGCCCTCTCTGAGCCTCAGATGCCTTGCCTGTGAAATAGGGCCCAGCCAGGGTACAAAAGAATAATTCCTTCTTGAGCACTAACTACACACTAAGCGCCGGCCAGATCATTTCCTTTGTAGCTTTATGAGATGAGTCATATTCCTGGGTGCACTTTACAGTTATTTCCTAGACTGTTAGAAAGAAACCAGGAAATTGGGCCCTGCCCCAAATGTTTCATCAGCTGGGGATGGTTTGGACGTTCCACAAAGTGACCTGTTTATGTCCTTTTTCCTCTACCCTGCCAGGCCCCTCAAGCAGGAGCTCGGGAGAAGGTTGCCCGATCCTGGTACAGCAACCGTGGCCTGGTCTCCCTCTCAGCCAAGATTGACCGCAAGGGCTACACGCCAGGTAGCGGGCAGGAGCAGCCATGGCGGGGGCAGGGGGGGCAGAGTCAGGGCTGCAGGTGACGAGACTGAGGCCTTGCCCCTCCCCGTTACAGGTGAGGTAATCCCTGTGTTCGCGGAGATTGATAACAGCTCCACGCGCCCAGTGCTGCCGCGAGCAGTCATGGTCCAGACTCAGACCTTCATGGCACGAGGCGCCCGCAAGCAGAAGCATGCAGTGGTGGCCAGTCTCTTGGGCGAGCCTGTGGGCCCCGGGCGGCGAGCTCTGTGGCAGGGCCGGGCGCTTCGGATCCCCCCTGTGGGCCCGTCCATCCTGCACTGCCGCGTGCTGCATGTGGACTACACCCTCAAGGTAGAGTGTTGGCGGAGGCGGGGGTCGCATCTGCTCTGCTTCCAGAAAGCGTCCGCCCAGGCTGGCGCTGGGGCCTCTCAGCACAGGAAGGGCCTCCTTCTGTGGCAGGGCCGCCTGGGCCCCCTCCACTGTGGCTCCTTCCTTCAGGTCTGCGTGGACATCCCGGGCACGTCCAAGCTGCTCCTGGAGCTGCCGCTGGTCATCGGCACTGTCCCCCTGCACCCTTTTGGCAGCCGCTCGTCCAGCGTGGGCAGCCACAGCAGTTTCTTGCTGGACTGGGGCCTGGGGGCCCTGCCAGAGCAGCTTGAGGGTGAGTACCGCGCCCTGGGGTCCCCAAGGGGCGGGTGGGTAGAGAGGCGGGTGCCAAGCCAACGTGCCCTCCCCAACCTCAACGCCTCCATCTATCACAGAGCACAGAAACGATCACGTTGGCAACCACGGGTTCCCCAAGAATCCCAGCCGGAGGGCACGCGGCCTGGCAGCCCCAAACTGGCACGAGCAGGCTCCCGGCCATCGCTGCCAGTTCCAGGGCTCCCTCCCTTCACGGCCCTCACCCTCTCGCTCTCTCTTCCAGCCCCTCCAGAGTATTCAGAGGTGGTGGCCGATGGGGTGGCAGGTGTCGGGCAGGGCCCCTTCGCACTACCTCAGGAGCCCAGCATGAGCCTCGAAGGCCCCTTCTTCACCTACATCCAAGAGTTCCGCTACCGCCCACCACCCCTGTACTCGGAGGTGAGCCTAGGGGTCCAAGAAGGCCCCATACCTTTCCAGGCCCTGGGAGCCGAGATGGGGCGGGAGACACAGGAGTTTAAAACGCTGATGAGACTCCTGTACATACACTCAGGGCCTGAAGCCGCCTTGAGCCCCAGTTGGCTCTTAGGGGGTCGAAGACTATCAGGGTAGGCACGGGTGCTTCTGAACCTCTGGTGCTCCCTGAGGCTTGACGGGTTTGTTTTCCTCAGGAGGATCCAAACCCCCCGTCGGAAGCCATGAGGCCACGCTGCATGACCTGCTGAGTGGGAGTGGGTACCTCGAAGGACGAGGTTACATCGCACATGTGCTTCCAGCCACCGTGGACATGGGGAGTGGCCAGGTCCAGAGCAGGCCAGCCTGGCTGCACTGAAGCTGAGGAAGCCACGTCCTGGACCAGGACGGGGCTGTTCTCACACGGGACAGAGGAGAAGGGCCAGTCTGGCATCTGACTTATCTGGTCTTTGTACGGCATCAAATGCCTGGTGCAGGATCCAAGTCACTGTTCAAACTGTGCTGACCTGTGGGCAGGGGCTGGGGTTCCCCCAGGAGCCTCCAGTCTGGGAGAGACACAGCCAGACGTAAATACTTCCAGTCTTGTGCGACCAGAAGAGGACCTGGAAGAGTCCAGAGAGAAAGCAGAGTAGGCTTCCTGGAGGAAAGGGCATTTTAGCTGAGGCTTTGGCCCATGAATAAGAGCTTAGCAGATGGGCAAGCAAGAGGGCGGAGAAGTCGAAGAAGGTCAGAGCAGAGCTGAGTGACGTTTGGAGACTGCCCCCTTCGTCTTAGAACAGGGCCCAGAGGGCAAGTGCCTCAGCTGAGGTCACACAGCAGGGTCCAGCAAGCGAGAGGGCCCAGGAGCGAGGTGTCAGGGAAGCAGGTCAGGGGAGCTACGTGGGGCCTGTGGGTGGCAGGGGCAGCGGCTCCAGCCCATGAAGCCTCAGAAAGCTGGAGACTCCAGCCCCGGGCTGGAGCTGCCTGGGGCTTCCCCCGCTGCTCCAGATACAGAGCTGCATGGCCCAGACACCCAGGTGCAGGGCAGGACAGACAAGACCTGCTACCTAACTTGCAAATGAAAATGTGGAGTCCTTGTTCAGGAGTGTTAAGAATGTCAAGATAATGACAGCAGAGCATTCAACCAGGCCCTGGGGACAGAGGTCACCGTGGATTGACACAGTGGGGCCAGTGTGCTTCTGGAGACCCTGGTGCCCTGGCCTGGGTCGCAGCATTTCTGATAAGCCTTAAATTGTTTTCTTTTGTACAATTTTTTGCAAATAAAAGTATGGAAGAACAGACTAGGCTTATTGGCTCATCTTTCCCCAGCTGCGCAGGAACTGGAGTGGCTGTGACCACCATCCCTGGAATTCCAGGCTGAGGAGGGATGAGGGGCCCATTGTCCAGAAGAGAAAACTGAGGCCCAGGGACACGTAGGGAGGCTGAGCTGTGGTTAGAGCCCAACCCCCACACCCGCTGCTCTCCCCTAGTGCAGTGACAGGTGCTGGGAGCATGAATGGCACCCCCCCTCAGCCAATGGAGAGGAGGGGGCGGGGCTGCAGGAGGGTCCTGACTCTCTGAGTCTGGGCTTTCTTTTAATTTTGTTTTTATTGCAGTAGAATCCACATGCGATAAAACAAACCATTTTGAAGTAAACAATTGTGTTGCATTTAGCACATTCACAGTGTTGTGCAATGATCACCTCTGCCTACTTTCAGAACATTTCATTACCCCAAAGACCGTGTCCCCATGACCGCTCACTTCCCGTCCCCTCCCCGCCCGTCCCTGGCAACTACTAATCTGTTTTCTGCCTTCGTGGATTTGCCTCTTCCGGATATTCCCTGTCAGCGAGATCACACACTATGTGGCTGTTGGGATCCGGCTTCTCTCACTTGGCGTGTTGCCAAAGTTCATCCACATTGCAGCCTGTGTCAGTGCCTCCTCCTGTTTGTGGCTGAGTAATATTCCACTGTGAAGGGACTGCATTTTGTTTATCCAGTCAGCAGCTGGTGCACATTTGAGTTGTTGGCCATTCAAGTCATTTCCACGTTTTGGCACACGTGGCTAAGGCTTGCATGGACCAGCACATATAGGATTTGTTTGGACACTCACTGGGAGTTATGGCAGCTTGAGTGGTGCCGAAAGTGAGTCCAATAGAGTGAGGGGACTTGCCCAGGGTCCCCCAGTGAGGACTGACAGAGCAGCCACTCAAAACGGCCCCTGGGATTCCAAAGGTCGCGCCCCACATCCCACGTGACACCCTGCTCGCTGCTCCCTCGGCACCAGCTGCTCAGGCTCCGTCTCTGCCTCTGCCTGCCCTTTGGGGCGAGGCCCAATTAAAACCCTGGTCTGAATCCTAGGCTGTGCCGTGAAAATTACCTGGCAGCTCAGCATGGTCATTGGCAGGACTGAGGGTCAGGGCTGAGGGGCAAGGACGAGGGTCTGGGGTGAGCGGGCAACCCAGGGATTGAACGCTGGGAGATCTGGGCTGAGATTTTGCTCCTTGTGTGACCCTGGGCAGGGCCCTTGCTTCTGAGCCTCAGTTTCCCCATCTGAGACTCTGGGACACCTCCCCTGCACAGCCTCCATTCTCCCCTTCCCTGGTCTGAGTTCGGGCACTGATTTCCAGCTGCTTCTGCTCCTGGGGTCCACCCAACATTCCCCGTCCAGCAGCATCTGCTCTGGGCAGCTGACCTGACACCAGTTCTGGGCAGGACAGGCTTGGAGGTCCCTGGGACTGCGACCGGGGAAGACCTTCCCACAGCACAGTCAGCCTCAGGAGAGGATGAGTTCCCTGCTTTCCGGAGTGTGCAAGATGCAAGATCCCAGCTTTCCAAATGGAGATGAATCCAGAGTGTTTACTGCAACAGTGGATGTGAGTTCAGTTCTATAGCAGGTTCTCCTCAGCAGGCTTGGGGGACAAGCTGCCCCATGTGCCTAGGACCCGTGTATCTGCAACTCTGAGGAACCTGGTCCCTAAAAGAGATGGATTTTCTGGTTCAAGTTGCTGACACCCAGATGTAGCTGGCACAGGGAGTCCAGGATCCAGGGAACTCCCTGAACACAGTGAGTGGCTCATAGGTCATAGAGGAGAGTGGCCAAATATTCTCCTAAAATAAAATCCATCCCTCCCCAGGCTCCTAAAACCCACCTACTTCCTCCAGCGCCTTTTCCTGCCCTGGCTGCTCCGCAAACACCCCGAGCTTGTTCCCACCGCAGGGCCTTTGCACATTTGTGTAGGGTTCCCTCTGCTGAAGGCTCTTCCCTATGGTGGGTTCCCCTTCATCCCCAGCCTCATCTTTTCAGGGATACCTGCCTGAAGGTGCCAGCCGCCCCCAACTCCCTCTCCCATCCCTCATCAGGTTGTCTCCATGGCCCTCATCACTCTCGGCAATTCCTGTTTAGATATTCACTTGTTTGCCTGGGCCTTTGAGCGCAGGGCTGGAATAGGGCTGTGTCCTTGGCCCCAGCACATAGCAGGTGTGAAGGGGGTGCTGCCTGGCTGAGTGACTGGAGGGGACTCCTTCCCTGCTCTGGTGTAAATAAAGTTTCCGGCAGGGGTGGGGGTGTTACCGCCTTGCACTTGTTCCCAGGACCCACCTCCCGCCTCCCGTCAGACCGGGCGTCCAGTCAGGGAGCCTGTGGGTGTCTCTCGCGGCCGCTCATCTTCTCCCACTCGCCGTCCCCCTGGCTCTGGCTCGCCATCTCTCGTGGTCACCACCTCTCTGTCCGCCTCGGACCCTTTCGCCATCTCTGTTGCCTGCCCTGCCCGGGCCAGGCCCAGTCCGCGGGGTGACAAGGGGCAGGGCTTCTGCTGCCTCTTTCCCCACCCTCGCTGGCAGGGGGCCCAGTCTGGCCATTGTTCAGGAATCCTCCTGCTACCCCGCTCCAGCCACCAGGCACAAGCCGCCACCAGCCTCTCCTCCCAGCACATTCTGTCCTGAGGAGATTGTGCTGAGGGTGGACAGGAGCGGGGACAAGTTCCTGCTGGGCTCCAGTTACAGGACAGCCCGTCCCGGTGGCCCTGCTCCCCACAGGGGCTGCCCCTGATGCCCCACTCCCTGCTCTGGGCTTACGTCTCCCTGAATGGAGCCCCGCTGCCAGCTTATCCCCACCTCAGGGCCTTTGCATCTGCCTTTCACCTGGAGCTCCCTCCCCACAGATGTGCCCAGGACCTTCTCTCCTTCAGGCCTCAGATCACATGTCACCTCCTCAGGACACCTTGAGACAGGAAGGTCTTTAGGCCAGAGCGCCCCTGGGGTTCCCTACCCTTGCCTGATGCATTTTGCTTCCTGATCTTCCCCCGCCCCCACAGTTACATATTTACTAGTTTGTCATTGTGGTTTCGCCGCTCCAGAACCCTGCCGAGTCCCCAGCTCCAGGCACACAGAGTAGGTGTTCAGTGAATAGTTCAGAATTGATGTCATTTCCTCCAAAAGCTCAGCTCAGCTCTGCTGAAGCTGCCCAGGCTCACTCACACAGCTCCCCACCCCCTCGGCCTGCCTGACCCTGCGCCCCTGCTGTTCCCGGTACCCCTGTACTGTTCCTTGCAGCCTCCTGCTGTTGCCTGCACCCGAATATCACCCAGGGAGTTTGCCCCCCAAAGTGCACCTTTTCCAACAAGGGGCTGGGTCTCTCTGTCTCCTAGGCCCACAGGCGCCCCACACAGGACAGCCCCGATGCACACACATGCAGAAACCCACACACACGTGCACATACCCAGGTGGAGACACAGAAACAGGCCTGCGAACTCGGGCACATGTGAATCGCATAGGCCAACACCTGTCCAGATGCATACAGCGGTAATGAACACGCCCCCCTCAGCTCTGGGTGCCTGCAGCCTGGTCGAGGGTTTGCGGGGTGCTCACAGGCAGAGGCCCCCGCTCCAGTGGAAGTGATTATGGCCTCCATGTTCTGGGGGTGGGGGTAGAGAACATGGGATTGAACCTATGCCAGGGGGCGCACAGACTTGTCCACATGGCCTCTGTCCTCGCTTCCCCTGCCCTGGAGCCTTCCCCACCTAGTTTTTGATGTTCAGGTTCAGGGAAGGCCAGGAAAGTCCCCAGAAATCATCAGGCTGGGCAAGGGGCCCAGAAGGAATTGATGATTCAGTAGGTGGCCATCAGTGCGGGCCATACTGGGCAGCTGTCTGGGGGGATTCACAGCGAGCAACAATGAAGGATGGGGGCTGCAGGGTAAACGGGGCCCGCGCCCCGACAGCAGGCGGGGGAGGGGAGGGCCCCTTGGTGCTCCAATGCCAGATTCACTGGGGAGAAGACTGAGGCCAAGAACAGGTGACTTGCCCACGGCCCCCAGCCAGGACGGGGCAGGCAGGGGCCTCCAAGCCTTCGGGGCACCTGCTCTCCCTGCCTGCCGTTAGTGAGCAAAAGGGGGCAGGTCCACTTCCCAGCTTCAGACGTGGACATGCGACCAAATCTGGTCAATTAGAGACTTTCATCATCACAGGTGCAGGGATTGGCTCAGGGATGGCTGTGTGACTTCAGCTGAGCCAATCATCCTGGGAATTTGGGGGCTCCCTGGAGGTGATGATAGGCCTAGAGCCAATGACACCGGCCATCTTACCACCATGACAAGGACAGCAGAGCAGAGTCCCTAGGACCTTGCTGTGGAATGCACAGACATCTCCAGCCCCATGGAGTCAGGGGGATGGGGCCTGGTGGGTCCTGGGACAGCTTCCAAGAGGAGAGGACATTGGGGTTGGGGCTTTGATGGATGAAGAGGAGTTCACCAGGGAGCTAGGCATTCCAGGAAGAGGAAATAGCCTGTGCAATCACAGTCAGCAAGACAGAGCTAGCTGGGCCTGGAATACAGAGCGGGTAGTTGCAGCAGTGTTTATTTTCCTGGTAGACTGGGTGTTCCCCACCCCACCTGGGGCTGTCTGTTTTGTTTGCAGCTGGCACTCCATTAAAGTAAGTAACCCTTCTGTGTCAGATGCACAGGGCGGGGCGGGGGGGCGGGGCGGCGCAAGGATGGCGAACAGGGAGAGGTTGCATCCCCCAGTCAGGAAAGCCTGTGGCTGTGTGAGGGTGACCCCTGGAGCCTGGGAGCCACAGTGCAGGCCGAAGGGGCCATTCCTGCTCAGAAAACCCCTGGCCCCAGGCGCTGTGCTCCAGGGCGGGGCAGGTGAGAGCGCAGGGCCCCGACTCGGGGCACCACCTCTTATTTCCTGTGTGACCCTGGGCTAGTGGCTGTGGCTCTCTGCCTCAGTTTCCTCTTCTGGAATCTGACCTCACTGTAGGTCAAGGTTAGTGCTGAGCACAGAGAGGGGGCAAGGTCTGCGGGCCTGGATGATGGGGGGGCCTGCTGAGGGACTGGGGAGGGGCAGCTCTCTAGAACATTCTGTCAGCAATTCCCAGCCTCTTTGAAAACAGGAAACTAGCTCTCGAGGGAGCCCCCAGCAGCGCTTCCTGATCC